AGCCCTTTGGGCGACTGAAGACTAAGCCAGACAGCACAGGGATGTGCCGGGGGCTTGGCCCCAGCTCACTAAATGCCGGTTTCCCATTGTGGGTTAGAGGCTCCACCAAGAAGCCCTGCTAACCCCCTCTAAAGAAGGAAGGGCTTTCATGGTAAAGACCCCCAACCAAGCAATTTTAACCAATTTAGTTTTAATGCAAAAACTACTATATGCTTTAAAAAACACACACACACGAAAAAAAAAAACTTCCAAAATAAAATGTGCCAAGCCTTGGGTTCAAGCCCCAGTACTGGGAAAATAAATGTCCCCCCCCCTCCAAAAAAAAAAGATGTATAGTCAGAAGACTTCTGTCCACCTCAGTCCCATAATCCCCTTACCTTTCTCTAGGAAGTGTGAGGTCCCCCAAACACCTTTCTTTCTTTTTTAAGTCTCTTTCCATCTATAGTCTAGGCATAATCAACCATGTGTCTGTGTCTGTGTGGGGGTGAGGTGTGTAAAAGCACTTATACCCCTCTTTTTGCACATATGACCGCATACCACACATCCTTTTCTATACATTAACTTTTTTTTTTTAAACTGGGAATTGAACCCACAGGCACTTTACCACTGAGCCATATTCCCAGCCCATTTTATTTTTTTTATTTTGAGTCAGAGTCTCACTAAGTTGCTTAGGGCCTCGCTAATTTGCTGAGGCTGGCCTCACACTTGGCAATCCTCCTGCCTTAGCCTTCCAAGTCACTGGGAATACAGAAGTGTGCCACCACATCAGCTATACATTGACTTTTTTTTTTTTTTTTTTAGCTTAAGTGCATATCCTGGAAACCATTCATTCTTCACATATAGGACACTAACTACTTTGAACATAGCACAGCATTCTACTTTAATGATATATATTTAGTCAATTCTCTACTGATGTCTATTTAAGTTGCTCCCAGAGTCTCACTCTTCCAGATGATGAATAAACATCACACACACCTTCACCCACGTGATAACTAAGAAAAATCATAAGATATAAGGTCATACGATCCTTGATATAGCACTGCACAGTCAGAGGGCACATGCACTTACCATGTTGGCAGATTGTGCCAAATTGCTCTTCAAAGAGGTTGTACTGATTTTCACACTCACCAGTAGCATAAGAAATATGCCAGTTGCTCTGCCCACATTCAAAAAACAGCTTTTTGTTTTGTTTTTAAATACAAGGGAAGAAAGGAGAGCACTGCTCCTCCTCTCATGTTCCATTGTCTCTTCTAGTCCCTGAGAACCACAAATGAGAGCTTAAAATTCAGTGGCTGTGAGAGCCAGTGGTATGAGCTCACACTGGCTCAAGAGACCTGCCTGCTCATTTCTTCCCAACCCCAAGTACAGCAACATCTTCTTGTGGAAGTATGGACACCACAGGAATCAGCAACTGCTACTGATCAGGACTTTTTCCCCAGAGAGCCTGCTTCGAATATTTACCAGCATATTAATGCATACTACAGGGGAAACTGAGGCTATACCACCCTTCACTGAGTATTCTGCCTTTGATGCTGACCTGGTTACAAATTACTTTTTTAAAAAAATATTTTTTAGTTGTAGATGGACACAATACCTTTATTTACTTATTTTTATGTGGTGCTGAAGATCAAACCCAGTGCCTCACATGTGCCAGGCAAGTGCTCTATCAATGAGTCATAATCCCAGTGACCCCCCCCCCGCCCCCCACCTGGTTACAAATTCTTAAAACTTAATGACAGGAAGAAATCTCAAAGGCCATCTAACCCCTATGTTTTCTTTTTTTTTTTTAGAGAGAGAGAGAGAGAATTTTTTAAATATTTATTTAATTACTTTTAGTTTTCGGCAGATACAACATGTTCTTTTGTATGTGGTGCTGAGGATCGAACCCGGGCTGCACGCATGCCAGGCGAGCGCGTTACCGCTTGAGCCACATCCCCAGCCCCCCTATGTTTTCTATACCACCTCTCCGTTAGTCCCTGTACGTAGACTTAAGTAGTATCCTCTATGCTTCTTTTCTATCCTTTCATATTTCCATCTCTTTATTATTTACTGCTGATTTCCTGCTGATTTCTTGTGGTGTAGTGATTGCAAGTGCAGGCTCAAGGCTACATTAAACAGTCCAGCTCTATCACTTATCTTGGGCAAGTGCCGTAATTTCCTCATCTATAAAACAGATGATAATGACACTGCCTCCTCATAATTTTGTACTTAGGATTGAGTAAAGTATGCAGAATGATATCTGGCACACACTATATACTTAATAAAAGTTAACTGTTAATATTACCTTCCAGTTTACTAATTCTCTCTTTAGCTATGTCTAGTCTTTCATTGAACTCTTTGGTTAGATTTTAATTATATTGTTTCTCACTTCAGTTTGGTTTCTTTTCTAATATTCTTTTTTTCACAACTCTTTACCTCTTTGGTATCATTATTCCTTTTTTATTTTTTTGGCATTGCTGGGGATCGAACCCATGGTCTCATGTATGCAAGGCAAGTGCTCTACCACTGAATTACATCCCAATCCTTTTTATTTTTTAAATTTTGAGACAGAGTCTCGCTAAATGCCAAGGCTGGCCTCAAACTGTGATCTCCTGCCTCCGTTTCCCAAGAAGCTGGGATTACAGGCATGCACCACCACACCCAGCTCACTGTTTTTCCTTAATTATTTTAAATATACTACTTTATAGTCTCTCTTAGAATGTTCTAATATTTCCAAGTTGGAATGCTTGGTTTCCTAATTTTTAGTTTTCAATTGTAGACTCATCTTCAGAAAAGTTAGTTTTTCCTGTGGGAGTTTCATTGGGTATAGATTATTCAAATATACCTATGGAGTGATTTTGTGTTGGTTTTAGGGGATTCTATAGTATTAGACCACTTACTAGGGTTAACTGCTCAGGTAGAAGGATCTCATATCTTATAAGTAATAAAGATATAGGTTCCACACCAGGTGTGGTGATGCACACCTGTAATCTCAGTGACTTGGGAGGAGGCAAGAAAATCATAAGTTCAAGATCAGCCTGGACAACATATCAAAGCTGTGTCTCAAAATAAAATAAAATAAAAAGGGCTGAAGATTTAATTCAGTGGTAGGGTACTCACCTAGCAGGTACAAGTGTAAGTTCCTAGGTTCATACACACATACACACACACACACACACACACACATATCCATATACAAATATCCACATATATCCTACAACTACATATGGTTCAGTGCCAGGTTTTTAACTTCTCATTGCTGACATTTTTCAACTCAAGGTAAATTTCCAGGCAGTGGAATTTTTCTAGAGTCTTATCATGAAGAGATCAGACCTTCAAAGCTCCAGAGCATTTAATTATACCTTGAGCCCAGACCTCATTTCTAGACCCACTGGGTATTAAGACCTCAGCCTCCAGACTTGTGGGCCTCAACCTGGATGTAAATGCCCCAAGAATGGTCACAGCTTTGGCCCACATGCAACCACTGGGCTTCCATTTCTCTCTTCATTTTTGACACTAGTGGATTTTCTTTTCTCTTAAGCTCCCCTGGATAGAATTCCTATATTTTCATCAACTCTGCATTTGTACCAGGAAAGATTCATGTAAATCAGCTTGGTCCCCCATTTCCCAGAAGGGTTCTAAGTCACCAAATCCAATATAAACACTTACCCACACTTGAGTTTTGTCTGCATTAAAACTGCATCTAGTTCGAGGATTAGGGTCTAAATATGAAAATTAAAGAGTCCAAAATCCTCCTGAAAGTCCCACAATAAGGTCTTGCATTGGAGACGGACAAACCATCTCTCATGAGGTCCAATGCTGCCAGTTCTTCCTCCAGCAGAATTTGGTTTCTTGGGTTGAGCACCATATGAAAGAGCTGGCTCGGATTTAGGGCCATGTTGTGGGATAATTACCATCTATAAATATGAAAAACACTCGGTGGCACAAGATGCTCACACTCTCAAATAACCGCGGGAAGAGAGATGAACAGAGGCCACAGCAGACCGTGGCCCCTATTCACACACACTCCAAGAGAGACACCCATCAGGTGGAATGACAGGGTCACCCACGCTGTCAAAGCGTTGTTTTTACTTGTACTTGGTTTTGTTTTTGTCGAGCAGGTATGTTTGGGTCTTGATAAATTAGAAACATGCATCTATGATGATAGAGTCAGAATCATGGTTATCTCTTAGGCAATATTAACCGCCAAGGGACATGGGGGACCTTCCTGGCAGGATGGGCGTACAGAACACCCTGGCTTAGGGGTGGCTAGAGGGCTGCAACATATTAAAAATTCCTCAAGCTGCGTGATTAAGTTTCGCGCGTTCTACAGGATGTATAGCTCCACTCAAATCCAAGTCGCATGCCCTAGCAGAGTGCCACCAGGCTTTCGGTCAAGCGTCTCCATTCTATGGTGAAGTCTCACCCAAGGCCAGCAGGCCAAATGGAGGGCAGTAAGGAGACTAGGTCAGAAGAGACAGGCCAGAAGTGCCCGTCAGGCAGAGGGCACCCAGGCTCCAAGAGAGGCTCACAGAGCCTCGTGGTCTTCCACGAGGGCCTATGGTGTGACAAGACCACAGAGGTTGAAGACAGGCTCCACCCTGTCCTAACACAGTGACCTTGGGCAAGGGACTTTCCTTCTTCGAACCTCAACTTTGTAGGGCTGCTCTTAGGCTCAGTTCCTGTACAGTGCTTAGCACAGAGTCTACATCCAGAAAAAAATGCATAAGTATGACCTACTACTCTCAATATGGATAATAGGAAGGCTGGAAATGTCACCTTCCCTCCAAAATCATCATTATTTAGAATAAAAATCGGATCTGATAATCACAAGAGAGATCCACAGAGCAAATGGAAGAAGGTGTGTGTTCTGACTTGAAGAGGCAGAGGCTTTTGCTGCTGCTGAACTCACACCCACCCCCAGGCCACAGCCACCGCTTTAACTCCTCCTCGGTGAAGTGATGAAGAGCACAGGCTTGGAGGCCACAAGGCCACGGTCACATCCCAAGTCTGTTACTTACCAACGTGGTAACCTTGAACGAATGACTCCAACTCCGGGCCTCAGTGCCTTCTCCTGTAAAAGAGTTACAGAGGATTAATCAAGTTACAACGCACACAGCTCCCAGTAAGTTCTGGTCACTGTTCCTTTTCCCTAAACCGGATACATTGGGAATAACAAGTCCAAGTAGCATTTTACAGACTGTTACGGGGTTCTTTCACACTAGTTTCATGTAATACTCAAAACAATCAGGGGTATTACAAATAAAGAAATGATGATTCAGAGAAGTTAAGCAAGTTGCTAAAGGTTGCACAACAAGAGCAGAGACCCAGACCAAACTCCTACCACTACAGGACAGTGTTGCCCCAGAGGCAGAGAGGGGGGTCCGTCTGTCCTTTGAGATTACAAATTCTGAGGGAAAGACACTGGAACTAGAGACTGCAGCAGCATGTCCTGGTCCCAGCAGAAAGCTCAGCTCAACTTTGAACCAGTTTTAGCCTTTGTGCCCCTGAATCACTTCCTGTTTTAGTTTTCTACTTTGCAGAGAAAGGAGAGCAAACCTGTACATGACACCAGCTTTGTCACCCCCCAAATCTCTTGCAGCAGCAAACGTTTATGAATTAAAGAGAGTTTTCAGAAAAGCCAGAGTTAAACAACATCCCACTAGACGCATGCACCACACTGAGCCAGGAAAGCGGGGCAAAGCCTGCAGTCTGGACAGCCCGGTCACCGGAAGGACTGAAACACAGGCCTTTTCCTGGCCTCTGTTTTGATTAAATGTGTGGTGGCCCTGGAGTTTCGTTTTGCTTTTCACTGGGTGCTGAAGCTACCGGAAGCCACTTAACCAGCGCATTCTATTCACAAAAGGTTGGGGGCCAGGTCTCACTGCCGTGGGAGCCACCGTCTGCTGCTGGTTTCTGCCACCTCTGCTGCTTTGCCAGCACAGTGCTTCTGCGGTTGCTGTCCTGGGGGCTGAATACTCCCTTAAAACAGCAGCCACCTGACCCGACCCCAGGGCTCAGGGGCCAGAGAAGAGCCACCCGCCGTGCTCACGAGCCGTGTCCTCAGATGGGTGCACATGCCATGGACATATCCGCACATGTATATCACATGTCACACACCACATGCCATTCATATGTAGCACACATCCCACACATGCCAGGAACCCCATCACACACGTACATGGATCACCATGAACACACATGCACACACACCACAAACACGCCACACATGTATGTCACGCTACACGCATGCACACACACACACGCCCCATCCCAGGACGATTCCTGATTCTCCTGATTCTCTTGATTCCTCTTGGTACAGACACGCGCCTGTCACTGTAAGGATGAGCTTTCCTTCTCTCTGCTACTTGGACTAGACTGACAAAATGGGAAATGGGGACAAATAGTTAACTTGGGAAAAATTTTAGGGCCTTCAGCAAAGTCCTAGAAATTAGAAAAAGCACACAAATCACAGAACTCCTGCCTTGCTTTGTTTTTAGGAACACTGAGAGAAAGCTGGCTTCTGTGCCACTTGGAAACAGACCCACGACACAAAGTGTGGCTCTGGAAGAAGCAGAGTGGGCATTTCAAAACAAGGGCACCTGTCTTTCCCTTACAAGATAGGAGCAGAGAGAACCTGGATGTGGCCCTAGAAACCACCTCCTGTCTCCTCTGCGGACTCCTACCGTGGGCTCCAGAGCTGCCGGACTCCTAGCAAGTCCCCTCGCTCTCTGAGCCCCAGTGTCCTTTGCTATAGAGCAAGGACTCATGTTCACTCCACACACAGAGCTCCTGAGTGCCCTCTGTGTGCCAAACTTGTGGCCCTGGAGTCCCCGCCACCCAGGAGCTCTCAGAGATCAGCTGGAGCAACCGCAGGTAGACAAGCAGTTACAACCCAGAAGGTCAGAAACCACCAGAAGGGTGAGGACAGGTGCACAGTGACCACAGAAGAGGGTAACCCATGAGCTCAGCAGGGGTGAACAGTGATGGAGAACTTCAGACAGATGGCCCCAGGGACATGGTGAAAGTGACGAAGAGACAAATTAGAATTGGCCAGAGGCAAGTGGAATGGAAGCAGCATTCGGGGTACCTGCACAGGTCACTCTGTCACCTGGTCAAGCACGGGAGGTGGAAACAGAAAAGACTGGATGTGCAGGAGGGTGGACATGCCAAGGGAACCAGGTGGCCCCCTAGGGCCCTTCCCAGCCTCAGAGCCGATTCTGTGGTCCTCCATAACCTGGGGCCTCTTCCCCCAGAACCCTGTCACTGGCATGCTGAAGGCTGGAGTCTGCTCTGGGGCACAAGTGGAGGGTCCCAACCATCCCGTATCAGCCCTTGTCCTTCCTCCTCCTTGTCCTCTTGGAATTCAAAGGAGAGCGCCATCCTCTATTATCATTTGATTCACCCAGGGCTCCTTCACACAATCAGCCTCTCAGCCACTCCCTCTTTCAGCTGAAGAAGGCTGCTGCGTGTTTTGGTGGAACCAGTGTCTGTCCCCTCTGCCTGCGCTATGCCTGACACACAGCAGATCCTCAAAATGCCTGCAGAACAAGGGCACCTAGGTCCCTTTCTGTCAGTGAGCGCTCACCCAGAGCACATGGGGACAGCTCCTAGGAGGCTGGATCACCAGCCCAGCACTCTACCTCCTGGCGCTCCCTAGGACACTGAGCCTTGAGATCTGAAAACTGACAACCATTTTTAGTTCCCAGCCACACCACACCTCGAGCCTCAGGCTTTCCAGGAAGGACTAAATGTCCCCACTGAATCAAATCTGTGTATGAAGACGACCAAGGTTTTGTTTTTTTTTTAAAGAACTGAATATATTTCTTATTATAAATCATTCTTAGAGTTAATTCTCTGTGATCTAAAGCCAGAATGATTTTTAAAGAGAAGCTGAGCCTTCCGAACCACTTACTTGGTTTTTTTCTTCCCAAGTTCACTGTGAAGCAACTTCCCTACAATGGAGTTTAAAGAAGACATTCTACCCATGATCTCACTACCAAAAGAAAAGAGTTCCTTACAATTCTGTGTCCTCCTGAGCTTTTTTATTCACATACCTGTAGTCTGTCCATATGTATGTATTCCATTAGAAGGAATCACCTTACAGAAGGTCCTTAAATAGGTCCCGTTTTCTTTAAAACTAATCAACAACAATAACCTTCTTCTGAGGCAAGTCACTAGCATAATGTTTCTGATAAACACCACAGAGCAAAACCCAGGCCACAAATTAAACACACCTGGAAATTCTGGGTTTGAGACCTTTAGAGCAGTTCTTTGTAGCCTGCTTCATTCCACAATTCTTATGACACTTCCCACTTAAGAAGATACAGGCAGGGGACTGGGGTTGTGGCTCAGTGGTAGAGCACTCGCCTAGCACGCTCGAGGCCCTGGGTTCAATCCTGAGCACCACATAAAAATAAAATATATTGTGTCCAACTACAACTAAAAAATAAATACTTAAAAAAAAAAAGAAGACACAAGCAAAGGAAAATAGGTGTCCTGCTTATTCCCCCAGGCACAGCAAACACTATTCAAGTTCACAACCATTGCCTATTGCTGAAAAGTTTAAGTCAATATTTTTTCTGCAAGTGAAATGTCATCTCTGGCTTGAGCCGAGTTTTAAAACACTCTCACAAGGTACCACCCTGCACAGGCAAACAGACTCTCAGAGGATGAACCCCAGCTGCAGATGTCTCGGAAGCTCCCCAGATGATTCTCCTCTGCAGCCAGGACCAAGAAGCACAGACTTGGGTAACTCATTAGTCAAAGGAAGCCCAGGGGAAATCTTATCTGGAAGTGGCAAACTCTCTGTAATTAAATAAAATAGCAGATCTGAAAGTACCCAATAGGGCCTGTTCCCCAGAAGACAATAAATGTTAATTAAACAAGAAAATATAATTCAAATAATTACACCTTCCCCTCGGTGAATTCATCTTGTAATTTTATCGGCTTGTTTACTACTTGTTATTTTTTTCTTTACCGTGATTCATTCTGTCCCTGTTAATAAAATTATAAATGTATACCCATAATTCCATTCAATTACAAGTACTCTAATATTTCCAACAACCATGAATCATTTTATTTAATAAAACTGTCCCTCAGAACAGTGGCTAATAAAGAGTAAAGAGGCCATAGGCATTAGCTATTTATAATGAGTATTCAGAATTGTTTTAATTCATGGTCATTTTTCTAAACTGGACAGAAACTTTGTTCATCCTATTAGGACACGACTCAGCAGGAACATACAAAATGAGGAGAATGGTGCCCCTGGGCACAGAAACAGGCTTGTATGCAAATCAGTTCCTCTTCACATTTTCATGGGAAAATAGCACAAGTAACCCTCCCCCCCGCCCCCCCCCCACACACACAAGTAACTCACCTGCCCACTTGAGGGGGGCAGAGACAGCTACTGGTTAGCACTCAGCTGTTCCAGAGTTACCTGAAAACACTAGCTCTGCACTTAGTCACAAAGGGTCTCTCACTGCAACTTCCCCCTGAGCTTAATGGGAAAGACAGTCTTATGTACGTCCACGGCACCCCTCAGTCCTGAGAAGGGAGGGAGGGAGGGAGGAAGGAAGGAAAACCAGACACGACAAGAAAGACAATTCCTGATTCACAATGAGAATGTTTCACTAAAGAACATTTTCAGGGGTCTCCCCGCCCTGCCGAGGGAATGGACTCCTGCCTCACCCTCTGACCTCGTGTGTGCTAGGCAGAGCAGGCATGGAGTGGGCACAAGGGAAAATGTGCTGCCCGTGGTGGTGCTCACGGTCAGCAGATCTTCTACAGTCCTCTCCAAACTAGCCAGTCCATGTTTTAAACCAACTGGACTTAAAACCTTATATCCAAAAACAAACATGGCTCACAGGTCTCTGTATGTTACATCCTAATAAGATAAAAAGCCATCGTACATGGGACAATGGCTTGGCACCCTGAAAAAGAATATCATGACTGACCATTGTGTTCCAGACTCCACCTTCAAGGGTCTCACCCAGGAGAACATGCAGACTGGCTACCGCAACACAGGGTGACTTGGGTTCAGACAGGGTGACGAGGGCACACAAAGACAGCA